AGCTGAGTGCTTAGATCAGAATGGGGATGGCCCATCAAGAATGGGAAGTTCCACAAATAACTAATGCTGTAAATGCTTGAAAGCCTTTGATAAAATATATCTAACCTTTGTCTTTTTTCATGGTATGAGTATATATTTGACTACACAAAAGCTGATTCTCACGTGTTTGTGAATGCTTTTTATTAATCCAATGAAGAACTCTAAAGGTATGCACAAACATAAAACTGTGTGTAAAATAAAATTATAAAATCACCCAGGTAAATGGGAGGCACTGAGCATTTGGGTGGGAGGTGAACAATTAACAATAAAGTTCAAATTCAGTAAAGCTCTTCATTCCACCTCAGTGCCATCTATATTTTGCATAATTCCTCAGTATTTACTTGAGTCAGACTTAATTCAATGGGATTAGATAATAAGCTCTAGTGTCGTGATGAATCAGAAGTTTTAATGCAAAGATAAATATTTAATGTCATATGATGAGATTTTTAGTAAGCACAAGCAAAAGGAAAACTACTAACTGCAGAAATCAGATTTCCAAGTCAGGAGCAGATTTTCAAGTCCTACCATGGGCTTCACCCACAATATCATCGTTAAAACCTGTAATAATGTAAGATCGTTTAGGAAGTATTTCAGCCTTTAGCATTGTGTAAATGTAAGGCATTTATCTTTACAAACAAGCTATTTACAGTCCCATTCCAGACCTTTTTCCTTTGACAGAAACAGTAATCACTGCAGAATGAAAGATGAGTTGCACTCATGGCTAGTTGCTTGTATTCCAGCACTGGTAAAACAAATCATTAAGATCAAAAGACCAGCCATTTCAATAAACTGTGCACTGTTGTTATTGTGACATATGGCTTTGTTCTGCCAGAGAGAAGGTATAAAACAGCACAAAAGAGAAATCAATATTTTTTTACTGAATGGTTCAGTGTTGACAACAAATATTATACATAAGTATATGTAATTCCTATATGTTACATGCATACCTATTTATTAATACACACTAGTTGTATTTACAAAGAGGTAGGTCAGGTCCTGACTTGCAGTCAGGATGTGGTCAGACCTTATGCTGGGACACAGGGGAAAGGAAGTGGTCCCTGATACCCCATTTTAGTCACAGGCTTCTCTGGCTTAAAAACGGTGTTGTTCCATGCTGAGCAGGGGACAGTTTTATGATATAAATGAAAAGTACGTGGGGAAGCGCTGCCACTGAGAACAGGACACATTCAAAAGTTACTATTATGTAACTTGGAGAGTTTTATGTCTCTTATACGATTTTGGTCACAGTTCTTTTATTTTAACTGATGAACAAGTTTGCTTTTCCTCATATCTGTGTATTTAACCAGTAAAGACGCATGGCATCTACATTTTGGAAACAGCATTATCCTGAAGGGACCTCCACCAGGCTCCAAAACAAATGGCCAAAACCATCGTTCATAGTTGTTGAAGGTTAGAAGCTCCAAGCCAGCACAAAGAGTACTTAAGACTGCCTTAAGTACACTTGCTAACTCATTGCTCAAAATATGTAGAGTGAATACACGCATATTTAGTACTGATCAACTGATTTTTCAGGATCCTGGCTAATCTGATATTCCTGGTCATCATATATCATTTATTTTAACTTCTGATCCAGAGAACTCAATACAGAAATTATGGAGGTAAAAAATAAATATGAAATGATCCTTTATATTTTAAACACTTCAGTGCCCCATCATTTGCATAATTTTCACCTGTTTCTCTATGCTAGAAAATGGTGGGGTAGACTTGCACAATTTGGAGGAAAAATTATACCAGGGATATAATTTTTATTATAAAAGAAAGCTTCTGAAAATGTTTAAACAGAAAAATATATTTTTCACTTATTGCTTTGTAAGGTCATGTTTAAACATTCATGAGTCATTTATCTTAAAATAAATTCTTCTCCATGGAGCTGTCTGGTTATTTTCCCAAATATTTTCAATAATAAGTTTTTAATGTGTTTTCCCCTTTCCAGTATTTCTAACTACATGTTAGAACCTAATTTCTTAAAACTAATGCAAGCTTCTCCTTCCATTATGATCCCTTGCTGCTGTTGCTTAGCCACGGATTATATCACCCAGACACTTCATCTTTTTTATGAAAAATGTTGTTATAGTCCGAAACAATTCCACCATATAGATAAAGTATTAAGTATTTTGTGCAGGTGAATAGCTCTTCCATTTCCCATACCATTATCAGATTGGCCTATTCCTATAGGACTGCAGCATTTCCACAGTCAGGATATAATCAACGTCTCTTTCTCATTCTCTGAACGTTGCTGATAAAAGAATGAATCTTATTCCTTCATGCTTAACTATGCAAAATGGTGCTATTCATTTTACTGTTTCAGGAATCTCTGAACCGTACGGATAAACGGGCTTTTGGATGAGCAGAGTTTTTTCCACTGTATCGAGGGATGTGAGGCAGCACTTAATTTGGAGCATTATTTGCTTACAGATACATTATGTGGTGCTGATATGTACAGAAACATAAATTATGAGAAGAATTGGCTTGATCGACAGAACCAACTAGATTATATAAAGAAAAAATATGCATTTTGAGTATTGTGTCTTGAGTATTACTTGCCAATCCAATTCCTCCCCAAGTACAAATAAATTGAATGTTTCTAATCAAAGAAGTACTTTAATTAATAATCACAGACCACTTTTTTTTTTTTTTCCCAAATTTAAAAAAGCAGTCTGTTGGTATATAAGTAGCAAAAGTACTAAAGTACTTAACAGTCTACAGCTGTGCTGTTGGAATGCAAAAAGCATTTAAAACAACAGATTTTACTTCATTCGACTCTTCATTCATTTGATTCAAATATATTAATCCTGAGACTCAGTGAATACCATTCCATTTTCCTTGGTTTGGATCGAAATCAGCCAATTACACCTATCTGAGATAACTGATGGTTATAAACCATAAAACTTCAGGTAAGAGAGCTGCCATCTGTGTGGTCTTATATTTTACTCTTTAACTAAAGACATGCCACATCATGCAACTGATGACACTCTGGCTCTACACAGCCCTTAGGTTAAGCAAGTCCTTCTCTTTTCACCTCTGGCTGATTTTAATCTGGAAACAGAAATTCTGCTCCATTTTTTGAAGCATAACTGGACTCACATTTCTGTGCCACATTTCAGATTTTTACTGATATTTTTTATATTTTTTTGTAATTGCATATACAAAAGATGTGCTTTGTAGGTCATACGTGCTCATACATCTTAAGTCCACCACTCAACACTCTAAAGTCCAATAAAGAACCTGTAGATCATTTTGTGTAAAGGTCTGCTCCTCTTAATTTCTTTCCTTCTTTTGAAAAATTTGAAGTTCTCGTTTCCAATTTGCTGAATTCAAAATGTGCAAGTATAAAGAAAAGGACCTTACTTGAAATTTTGATCAGAAAGCACTGACCACATTGCATCACCCAGTCCATGGAAACATGTTTATAGTGTCAAAACTTGAGGACTTTAACAGGTGAAACACATGCCAGAAAGGTGACATTTCCCCGGGAAAAGAACTTCTGACAATTGTTCAGCCCTAGTCCACAGCTCATACAACCTTAGCTGTGCTGATTAGCATCAATAGACATTTTCTGCAGCACAATAGAACAGAATGTTGCTGATGATTTCATTTAAAAATTACTGGCTATTATTTTTTTTTTTTTTTTACTGATTGAAATATATTGAGAGAAGAATCCTGATTTGGGGTTAATATTTCCGTATGGCAAGGACCGTGCCACCTAACTATTAACTAAAAAATACACCTTAAGTGATAAAATAAAAAAATTCTGTGTGAATAAACCAGCCCATTTTATTCCCTTCTCTTTTTTGAAGTATATTAATCTCTGAATTATTGCTAATAAATTCCTGGATAGCTACTGGGAAATTATCAGCTCACTTACAATAAAATATTGATTTTCTCAGACTTATTGCCTAAGTTTGACCACCAAGTTCTCACAGAAATTGTATCAGGGTAGTATTTTCCCCATTATTCTTTGAGAAGACATCTCATTACCATGCAAATGGAAATGCCTTTGAGCAGACTAATTGGTATATGTGACATGGAACATGCAAACCACAGTCTGAAGTCACTCCACAATTTATACAGAAACTATAACTGAAATTTGACTGCAAATATCATTGTTTCCTTGAGATCTGGTATTTACATGTAGCAAAGTGGTGGGTGGATATCTATTACATGTGCAAAGATTAGAAAGAATAGTTGTGTAAGACACTGTGATTCACCACCAAAGAAAGAACATTTAAGGAAATGCACTTGGTAATTAGATTAATAATGGGCAATTGATTTGATAGAAGCAGACAGCCTATTTGAAAGCAACAGAAGTATATAATGTAATCAAAGCATATTTGGTCCAATTCCCTGCATTTGTTTATTTATTTAAAGGCATGTTGTGTACACACATTATCATTACTTTCTAATATTTATTTTAGAAGAGAGTGTAATATTCAGCAGGCCAAGAGAACACTGAAAAAGACCATGTGTTTACTTCTAAGAATAGACATAGTCTGTAAGCAGTTTAGGCAACTACAAATTCAGTTTCAGACACAACTTCTCAGGAACACTGTTCTGTAGGGTGGGATACAAACAGGCTATCAAGTGTATCAGAAAGGATGGTGCCAGCATCAGTGAAACAGGCTTCGAGTTGTCGAACTCGAACCACACAGACACAGAAAAATCCACTCAAACATGTAATTTTAGCATGTGAATACAAACCTGAACCTTAACACACAAATCAGTCAAACCGCCAAGAACTGTGCCTTTCTTTATCACGAAGCTAATCTAAACCCACTGTCACTCTCCAAAGCAGGTTAAGCTTGGCTAATCTTTCTGATGTGCAGTCATTCTTCTTAAGTGCCTAAACATGGAGCTTCTGCAGCCAGCCACAGGCAGTCATTGATTTCACGCTGTGAAAACACTTTCTAAAGACAGCTCTGTAATCAAATGTGGTTATTTACCTGTCATAGTCTTGGCAAATCTCCCCAACAGCTACCAGTGCTTTCAAATACTCGTTGGGTTGATAGGGGTGGATGTAGTGCAGGGAGCAGCTGTTCCTGGGATCACCATTTGATGCAGTGAAATCTATAGCTACCTGGAAAAGAAGAAAAGTCAGTGTCTTGCAAAGCTCTTCTGAGCACATCCACATCAACCACATATCTTCACCAAAAACAGTTTGCTGTAGAGTCTGCAGCCTTAAAGGTCATTTTACAGCCAACTTAATCAAATTTGAATTAGGATAGTACTGATAAACATATTTAGAAGCAAACGACAGTTTATAAAATAAGAGCTAATAAAACTAAAAGGGCATAATTAGGAAAAAAATTACTTGCATTGCTATTCTGTGAGGGAAAATATGTTCTAATACAAATGAATCAAATTAACCATCTCTAGGTTCTCATACTTAATTAAATTATTCCAGCTCAGGTGATGTTCAGTACATAAAAGCTTTGTGGCAAAAATGTCCCTAGAGAGTTAAGAGTCCTACTAAAACTATAAATTAAAACTATAATTAGGGACATTTCTTAGCTATTTTAATCCTTACTGTGGCTGTAGTAGTAGATATTGCCTGTCTGGTATTTTTTGTCTTCAAAACATCTAAGCATTAAATAATTAACCCTCCCAATTTCACAGTTGATAGCAAGCTTAAATGTGAGCTGCAGTGTAAAAACAAAGCTTGAATCCTGCACAGATTTTTTTTTGTTGTTATTGAAAAAGCTTAGAGAAGATTGTGGGAAGCAGCCAATGTAAAAGCAAATATTAATGAATCCTCTTAAAATTCATTTCTCCCTTTTAAAATGCTCTTTATACTTCTCACTGAAGATGTACTCTGGCATGCATTTTCCTGTGATATGACCGTCATGGATCAGAAAGCCCCTGATGAATTTGTGATGCCGCTTCATAGGAATTCTTAAAATGAGCAACAAGAATTCCAAAGTGTCTCATAGAGGGAGTAAATTTACAAAACTGCCTTGTGATTTTTTTTTCAATAACCTATTCCTCTAAAAAACCCATTACACCTGAATATTCAATAGACAAAGGCACAGAGTTCAGTTTTCAGTTTTACAGTGCAGCTGAAAGGTAAGAAAGAGTCTTGCTGAAGCCTGCAAAAAGAACCCTGAAAGCCCAGTTCGCCTTTGCAAGTGTGCAGCTTCCCCAGCTGCAGCCTCTGCTTAGCACAGGGAGCACTATTTTATGCAGCTCTACAATGAAAATGAAACACGATATTTTCATGCGCCCTTAAAAAAAATTACACAGTCCTCCTGAAACTTGTTTTTTGTAGCTAAAAAGTAAAAGGGAAATATCATAGTAGATCAACCCAACATGGTTTCCCCCCAGTGGTTTCTGATTTTTCACCTCTATCTCTGAAGAAACTGGCCTCTAGGTAGCCTGGAAATCCCTTTGTCGCCTTGATTAACTCTGAACCCCCAGCACCTCACCACATTCAGTCAGCACTCACAAATTCACTGAAGCACTGAGTTTGTTTGCCATAGGGATTTTTTTCCAAAAATGATAGCTTGATTTAACTTGAATAAATCAATGGGAAATCTCTCATGCCTTCACTTGTAAGTGTATGTCACTTAGAAATACTACGTGGACATAATTGAGGAAGAAAGAAATAACAGTGGTTTGTGAAAACTAAGGCAAATCCAGGGATGTTTGTATGGACCAGCTTAGTTTTAGGATACTTATTTGTTAAAAATCTTAGTCAAGCTATGCATGTTTTCTTAAAAATATGTGTATTTTCTCTAATATTAATCCAACCTTAATTTTGATTATAAAAGGTGCAAAAATGTCATTGGGGGATAGAGAAACAAAGGGTATTCCTGAAAATTGTTAAAAGTACGGTTTTTTACTGATAATCTCAGAATGCTACAACACATTAACAAGACCTGAGTGATACATCAAACAAAACTGGACAAATGCTACAACACATTAACAAGACCTGAGTGATACATCAAACAAAACTGGACAACTCTTCTTTCATTGCTGTTAGCCATGGCTAAATGCTTTGGAAATGGAAATAAGAGCACAGTGTAAGAATCAGGAGTGGCTTTCAAAAAAAGCCTGTGGCTGGTGTTTAGGAAAGAAAAAACACATCCTAGAACAAGTTTCCTTTTGGAAATGGTCATTGCAGTAGATGTCTGCTGATAAGTAGAAAAAAAAATCCTTATTTCCTCTGATGAAGAGTTTATGAATATTTGTACGTGGATGCAGTGTGCTTGAATCTGATCCAAATCTGTTTGACTCCCAAGGAGAGGACTTATAAGACAGACAACTGCTGCTGTAACTTGCCACAGTGCCAAAATAACAACGCAGAGCTCTGCTCTTTTAGCATTACCCAAGAGTACCAAGGTCTTGTGTAAATACATAGGATAAGGATTTGTAAAATAAGTTAACATATCACAGAAGTTATGGTAATCTTACAACTGAACTTATCTTTTGGGCAGCAAAGTAGGAATCTCTCTTATAATGCGTACATTTGATTTTTATCAGTGTATCTTTAATGTATCAGTTCCAATGTACCAGTCATCTTCCCACAGCTAAATAAGAGCAAAACTGTTTTATTTTTTTTTCTCAGTCTTGTAAAAGGGTGATTTTCATTACACTGAAAACATCCCACATAGCTGGGACCTCCTGCTAGATCTGCCAGCAACAAATCAGCCTACCCAGTACCTTGACCTGCCTGAGAGAGCATCTGTCCAATCTATCTTTCTACTACAGTTCCTGTTATGCATGGTACACATCCTTTCTGCTGTATTTCCCAAAGTGACGAAAATGTCTTCTGACTACAGTCCCATTTGCACTGCCAGCTTCTGAACATTTCTTCTGCAGTAGGGAACACTGTCTGATAAGAGATACAGGGTTTGGCAGTAAGCAGGGCATAAAAATAGAGGACTGGAATCAGCACTATTGATCTCTATAGATGAAAGCTTCTTAATAACTGGTTTTAAAGAAAAAGAAAAGTTTACTTTCTTTTTTCAGAGACATTCTTGCTACCTACAAACTACAATAGATGTACAAAGTATCCCGAGAACACACAGCATGATGTTACCAAAGCTTTCATTATTGCCTTAAATTACCAGGTACATCATACTACAGCTTTTTATTCTCAAATGTGTGCTTAGCATCCCAGTTTCCCTCCCTCAGTAAGTACCCTTTCAAATCACAGTTGTATCGTGCTGCCTGCACACAGCATGAGCTCAACAGAAATGTCATTAATATTAAGACAATGACAACAACAATATATGTACCAGGAGAGTTTCAAACAATCCCAGATCCATTCTGGTTAAAAAAGAAACAGGCCTCCTCTATTCCAGTGGTCTGAATTAATCAGATTAGGGCTATGTGAAAAGGAGATTATATGATGTGTACAGAAAGCAAGGGAGCATGGAATATCTCCCCTGTAGGCTGCACCCTTTTGCTTCAGTGACCACGGGAGAGCCTCTCATACATTTCCAGAAACAGCAACAGATCTCACAACCAGTCATTTTTGACTGGTGCAATCATGATGAGGACTGACATAGGAGGAAGGAAAATATGGAGAGAGTCAGCTTGTGATGATCTTTAGGTAGAACCACTCGGTTATGCATGTAGAGATCTATAGGCAGAGAGACGTCACAGTGGCGTCCCCTGAGTCTGTATAACTTGAAAATGGATAGTGGTGAGTTTCCAACAATACTGTAGCTGCTGAATTTACCATTGAGAGCAAAAATAACACAGGGATCTCTGTGGTTCACAGTATAATGAATGTTTCCTTTATGCTCTCACTGCCCACCCTTGCAGATGAGTTTAGCTAAGTTTCCCATTACCAATTATTTTGTTTCATTTCAGCTAAATGAAACACGGTAAAATATAGTAGAAGCAATACTATCCACTTTATCCCATCTACCCCATCACTTTTAAACTTGTGGTTCACAGCCTACTAATAGGAAACCTGTGACAGGCAAATAAAAGGCAAGCAAATTGTAAGAACTTGCTCTTCCATTGGAAAACATTTAGAAGGAAACAAAAAGCGTTTGAAAAGCACAGCTGTAACTTAAATCCCTAGACACTTTCTAATGGTTGAAGTGCTCCTGGTTGAGCTAGAATTGTGGGAAATGCATATTATATCTTTGCATGTGCCTAAGTACATGTTCTGATTAGAAAAGGCTATCAAATATAACTTGTAGACATAAAAGTCTTTCTGCTAATGGCCTTGAACACATTTGATGATTGAGTTCTTCCAGTCGTATTTTGAGGGAGGAAATGCCAGGAAAGACAAATTAAAGGGATTTCCATGGACTGGCAAGTTTTGGATTTGGTGGAGAAATTCACATTGCAGGCATGTAGGGATAAAAGAAAAAGAGCTGGGAAAGGCAGGGAGGTAATTACACAGGATGTTTTACTTGAGAGAAGACAACTCAAAAGACCTTTGTCCACTACAGTAGTTATCTCCTTCAAAACCGGAGTCCTCAATTCTGAGTGTTATCCAATGAGTCTGTGACATGTAGGGGCAAAGTGCATGTTTTACACCCCAAAAAGCTGACCCGTAAGCAAGAAGACAATCCAGTACAATATCTGCTGCTGTTGCTGGATCTTTCTGTTGGGAAAAAATAAAAAAATCCATCTTTTTTTTCTTTTTTTTTCCCCAGATCTTTTTTGAAAATGAAGACTTGTCTGGAAAAAAGTGAAATGGAACATTTCAGGAGTATCTGATGTCTGATACTTGATTTGTGGGAGCAGAAACAAGGCAGGATGCTACTGGAAAATGAAAGATCTCCAGAAGAAGACTATAACCTTGATGCAATAGACTTTAGCCCTGTAGCTGATATGAGTTAGAAGTCATATAAACCAGACTGCAACTCAGAAAATCTGTATTCCTATGCTATGGGAAATACTGATAAATTATATTATATTAATTATATTTGCTATATTCAAAATTAAAAAATAATTTTCAAAAACTCCACACAGCATTAAATGTTTCTCAAAATTATTAAGTGGAAATGCAAAATATTGTATTTCTGTTTCTGAAGAGCTCTGCAAATCCTGTTTCTTGAACTCAACAGCTTCTGATTTGCTCTAAATTACTCCTGTGTCCCCCTGAAGAGCCATCTTACTGTTGGTAAGTAAGCTGATTTCATAGCTGAGATATGAAACAACAGCATTTACTCCAAGCTGACAGAGAGAGGCCCCTGGCTGGACTGTCTCTCTGCATGTGACTTTCTGTACAGCATCATCTGGGGGAAAACAATTTGCTTTAATGGAGGACTAACTCTGGGAAGGAAGACTGGCCCTTAATACATTGTGCAAGAAGACCTTAATAACTTACTAAGGACTGGCATGTAAGAATGGTTTCTCCATGACAGTAATGAAGTGGTATCTAAGGGGATTCTGTTTCTTTAAAAGAAATTAGAGAAGTAAGACACTTACTGTAAACTGTATTTGGCAGCCTCCCATGATATAGTCTAAGAAAGAATGCATCTTGTGGATCTGCGGACAAGAAAGCAAGACATTCAACTTAGCTGTGTACTGATAAAACATCAGAGAGCTGCCTGAAAAAAACCAATAAATTAGAAGGATGAGAGGGACCAACTGAAAAATAAGTTAAAGGAAGAAATTCTTTAATACGGTTTGAGACAAGAACAAAAGCATAAACAGAGAAAATATTAAAATTCTAAAGAGAGGAAAATTTACATCAAAAGTAGAAGCAAGCTCTTCTTTTCAGTAGGAATTCAATGGAAATTTTGATGTTGATTTAGGAGGAACAAGAGTAATTTTGTAGAAATGATAGAAGGACTAAAAGGGAGACACACAAAGCTGTCAAGTCTTTAGGGGTAAGAGTTTAGTGCCTTCTCCATTGCACAGCAGCAGGGATAGGACAAAAGAAATGAAACAGGAGAACTAGAGACAGCTTACTTTTGAGATTCAAGTCCTTGCTTTTACTTTTCGTAGGGGATTGGTTTCCATTGTTATCCTACAGGCATTTCCACTTTGTTTCCATGTTTCCAACCACCATTAAAATATGTATCACTCGGAGCTTAGAACAGAAAAGGCAAAAGAGTAAAACATGTATTTACCTTGCACTGGTTAAGGATGACAATGCCTGAGTTCTTGTAATTCTTCTTCTTCACTTTGTACTTGGGGTTAATACATTCCCATTGGACCTGGGAAAAATGGCAGTCACTCTTTGAGGGAAAATTTATGTACAAATTGAAATAATTAACAAAAATTACACGGTCTGATTTCCACGGTTGATTAAATCATAACAAATAATGGTGCACAGAGAGGAAGAAATGAAAACTATTAACTACTCAGAGAATGATCTTAATAGAAAAATGCCCAAGGCAAATATCAGTCTTTGTGTATATACAGGCAGACATGGCACTAAAAAAGATACACATCTTCCAGTCTTACAGGTTTAGGTGTTACATAAGCAAGATTGAGGATTTTTTGAAATTATTTAAGAGGAGAAAAAAAGAAGGAACTTAATACAAGTGAAAATACTGGAGGGAGCAACCTGATGCATTGTATTAAATACAAAACTGCTGGCACAGTAACACTGGAGTTTTGTATTAAAATCAAGACTGGAGAAATTCTGATCAGTGGTTGTCTTGCTTTCTCTTGCAAGAGAGCATCAGTTTCTCCTGTAAGTCTGATAGCAAAATAAAAGGTTAAGAAAACCACTAAAAATTGCCCAAAGATGCAGTTAACTAGTTACTGATACATTTGAAAATTATCCCTAAGAATATCTTAAAATCTCTTCCTGAAAATTTTCTCATGGTTTTATTTACAGATAGTCAGTTTTACAGCAAAATAGTCCTACCTTGTTACTGAAATACACTGTCTTCTTCTCATTGTAACATCTCTCAGGTTCTTAATAATTTCCATTTCATATGTTCTGCCTTCCTCTGGTTCCAGGTAGATTGATTAGGTTCAGACTTTCAGATTCTCACCTCTAATGTCTACAGTATTATTCATGCCTCCTACTGCAGGAGTAAAATGTACATTTGCAGTTGCAAGTGCCCATTGCCATTTGTACATACAGATTTTTGTCTGTGTTATTAAATATGGTTAATAGCATTATTATTTTCTTTCAGAGAGGTGTTTTAAAGTGTGGGGAGAAAACGTGATGCTGGGTAACAGAAAGAACAGAACTTGAAAAGGAACCAGGATGACCTATTATCTAAAAATCCCTATTATGACATTTTGAAATTAAATACATATATATCTTAAGTGTTACAATGTTTTTCCTATAATGAAAACCTTCATAAGTGTTACAATACCTTGTCTATAGTGAAGTTCACGTGATATATCTCAGCAAAGTGTTTGAGCATGTAAAACTATTTTTACTTTATGAACAACCCCAGCTATTTCACTGAGCTTCAAATCCATTGCCTAACAGTAATTATTTGGATATCTCTGAAGTATTTCAGAGACATAGGCAAATATCAAAAAAGAAAAGGAAAAATATATAGCTTTGGAGCAATATGAGACAGTTTCTTCACAGGGGAGGAGGAGTATTTTTGTCACTGTGAACTGGAGACAGGTGACAGAGTGAAGAATGGGAAAAGACAAAAAAACTGTTCCAACTTTAGGAAGCACATCTGCTTGCTCTCCCAGCTCAGTTATCTGCTTTGTGAAATAAATTTTCCAACTGAGAAGACAGGCAGACACAGGGCCCCCATATTCAGGGGAAATCCTCCATAAATACTTTTTCTCTACTCGAGAGAAGCAGTCAGGCTTAAGAAATAAAAGCCCTTCTCTCTAAGGAAGGAGAGTACTCTGTGACACAACATCAGAGTGCAATAAGCTCATATTTAGGAAAGCAATCTGACAGCAAGGCAGAAGCACTGCCCACTCACATCTTGATATGTTGCTGTCTGGTAAAATGGTTTAACACTCATTTGTCTCCACACTTAGTGGAAGAATTCCTACAGAGAAATTGTGCTGTCTGTAAATTATAAATAAACTGTAATCTATCAAATAGAAAATGAAAACAGGAGATGGGATTTGTGTTCCTCCCTTTGACACTGAAATACACTGGAGCCTGAACATTCAAGGTGCACTTCCTTAATTTTATCATCCTCCAACATGAACACTTGTTTAAACAAGACCTGACGTATATGAAGCCATATACTATGTGCATAATTTCTCTCACTGGGAAAAGGATTATTTAAGCCTGAAAAACATTATGTTCACGGCATGGGTATATGGAAGAAGTTTACAATACATAAGGACCAAAGTGGCACAAAACATTACTTCAGGGGAGAAAAAAATCTGTGCCTGTGTCCGAGCTCTCAGGTTCCCTTTGCTAACTGTAAAATGCAATTATGAATGTTCCCCTACCTTGCAATGCATTTTGAGACGTACAGATAACAATTCTCAGCAACTGTCTAAGGCTCGTTAAAATATTCTATGTGCAAGTCACTAACATCACTGACTGATGTGGATAATAAAGCAAAGGGAAGAACAGACTGGAAAATTTCTAGAAAGTGGGAAAACAGAAAGAAAGAACAATTTTGCACTTATTAAATCTGTTGATGATAGTATAAAGAAGGGAAAATAATAGGAGAGGAGGGAGAAGACATTTCCCTGTTTGTGGGCTTAAAAAAGCCAATAAGACTGTGTTACATAAAACTCAATCCTCACTTACCCACCAGGATCCAGTTTTGACCTTGGCAATTCCCACAGTTCAAGCTAAAGATGTCACAAGTATCATTTGAAGGAAATTCCCTTTACAGGTCTTATTATATCTCCAACTTTTCTAATGAGAACAGAGTTCAGAATACAGCTCTAAGCAGGTAAGTAATATCGAGAAACAATTCTCAAATGTTTTGCTTGCACTGCGATGCCAACCTCAATTTCCAGTCTGTTCCTACATTCCCAGTATTGATTTGGTATCTGACATTGTTTTTTATCGATTCATTTTTGCTCTTAAATTAAGTTTTCAGTTGAGAGGAAACTAATGCAAGAGTCTGCAATCTGACACTAATGGTAAACATTGTGAAGTTTGGATTTGTCATTCTGAAAGTCACTTAGCATTTCCTCCAAATGCCTGACAGCTCTGGGCTATGCAAGCTCCTTTCCTGTCAAACACAGTGAATCTGAAACAGAAAGCAACCTGGTTTTGACCCATCTCTTGTTAATTTAAGTAATGGTGCAAATGTTGGTAATGAAATCCCAAGACTATACTGTGTTGGTGTTTTTCATACAATGAAATTTAAACCACTATGGGGAAAATTTCTGAATATAAGACAAACTGCATCCAGTTATTCTTTAGAGTCAGTAAAGTAACGCTGATACTCGGAAGGTCCTAATCCTCTTGTGGATGTGATGATGAGGCACAGATCCCTCAATGGGAGATATTACTCTCTGCAGTGAAAGATGCTGCCTTTCCAAACATCCTTACTCCTTCTTTTACCAAACCTTCAGAAGAGAAAGAAAAGCAAACAGTGCAAGCACCCATGCCACACACCAGCAAAGGGAAGTGGAGGTGACTAAATGAAGGCAACCATTGTAAAGCCAAAATTCGGCCACTATGTGTCCACCAATAGCACAAACTACGCAGAGAAAAAACTGAGGGTGTCAGGAGAATTTCATTTACCCTAAGGCAAGAAAAATGACAGAGAACAGTTGCTTTCTTTGGGAAACAGTGCTTGCACTGCACTCAGTCCTGTGAGGAAAGGGCTATAGAGCTTTGGGAAAGCCTGGGTTAGCATTGGCATGCTCTCTTGCCTCCCCTGCAATTCTTTTGTTTCTCTCTTATTCTTCCTGTGTAGCTGCTGCAACAAATTGCAGAGTTTGTAAATGACAAAGAAGGAACCATGGTCTAATGGACGGGGCAAAATACCCCAATCAATGGCAGGCAGCATTATATCTCTTTCTGGTGCCTTAAGAAAAACAAGTCACTTTTAAGTGACCTGCATCTCCTCCTGCCTGACAGGCTAGTTCATTCCTGCCATCTCTCAAGGCAAGAGGTTGGATTTTCTTTCCTCCTTCTGTCCCAGAAATACATCCACCATGGGAGAAGAGCTGCTTTTAATCACTATCAGAGCTTTCCTCTGGAAACTTGCCCCTGGGGAATGAAGTGAAAATTAAAGCATTTCTTGTTCCCCCAGCCAAGCCCCCCATCCTCACCTGTGCTCCTGAGGCTGGGGCTAGCAGCAGCTGCTGATATTGCAGACAGCCCTGGGTGAACTTGGCTATCTCCTGATAAAATTAGGCATGGAATTGTCTGTTGGTGTCAATAAACTCCCTGACCCATTACCAAAGGCTCCAAGATCTCAGAGTTCTCTGAAGAGCTACCTGATGCAAAGGCCCTGAGTGAGAGTCAGAGACAGATACCTGGGCAAAGGGGGGAATCCAGTTCAGATTCCCTTGAGACATCATCCAATCTTGTGCCCTTCAGCAGCTCTCCTCACATCCCCAATAACACCCTGAGCTTGCAGGAATGCCAGTGGATATGGAAAGCAGAGCAAAGTTTCTTCCTCCTCTTTCCTTCTGTGCGTGTGGATGCACATGTGTCCATTTTTTATGTAATGCAGGAACAGATTTTTCCCTTACATAACTCCCATGCTGCAGGGGGATCCAGGTGATTTCTCTGACTCCCCCTTCCCCCACCCCAGCCAAATCGCTCTGGTTTTATTGCCTCCTCTCACTAGTAGAGGATTTGCCTTTCAACTATGGTAAGCTTTAACAGTATTTACATTTTTATAATTTCAATCTTTTTCTTGTCTTGTTCAAATATTTTTGATAGATTAATATTAGAATGCCTTATAAAATGGGATGGACTTATTCTTACTGGGCTTTCTTGCATTAAGATTATGGTGAAGGAGTAAATAGAGAAATTTGGAATGGTGGGAAGTGTTAACAGAAGGTTTAGAAATCACAGTATCATTAGGGTTGGGAAAGACCAGCACCATCAAGTTCACCACTAAACCCTTGTTCATGCAATGACTACTTCAGATGTGCCTTTGAACAACAGGGTGTCTTTGGCTATTTTTTATGGTGGTCAGCTTGAAAACAGGCTAAGTGTTAGAATATAACAGTCTGTGACAATAAGGTAATTTTTATGGAACAGGAAAATGCACCAAGATTATTATCCTAAACATGTCCAGGATCAGGAATTCTTCTTAAAACAGCATGAACTAATTTCACCTGTCTCACCAACAAAAGTCCAGCAAGTTTTCCCAGAATTCAGTCCCTTCAGTCACAGAGAAGCAACTGACAGCCTGAAGGACTCATAATTCAAGATTTGTGAATCTTATCCAGACCCTGCCACATTTAGAAAAGAAATTCATAAACTACGTACGCCAGCCCTGATCAAAAGAAGTGATCAATCATTCAGATAAGGAATCTTCTCTTCTTCCTTCACACAACACTGGTTCAAGCACTAGAAAACTGCCAGTGCTAGATTTTAAGCATTCATCTAAATGATGTCTGGTTTCAAACACACATTCCTGAGAAATCTCACAGTAAGAGGCAGGCCAGCGAGCCAACTGTAAATTCATTGGAGGCTGACACTGAAAACTTGGGATAATCAGTACTCAGCCCAGCGATGGAACTAAAACAGTCTTAGAAGCACCATGACTTCCTGTAAGAAAGCAGGTGACACATATCCATTCTGGCCATCTCAAGTGGTTCTGCAGCAGTTGATAGATTGGCTACAAGATAAAAATATCTTTACTTTTGGAGAGGGAGATTGAAGAACGGGTCAGAATGCTCTGTGCTTTCTATAGGATGAACTACGTACAATTAAAAGGCAACTTCAAGATCCTTGTCAACTCCAGAGCTGATGAAATGGTGAGGAGTACTAGCAGTTCACAGATGACACACAGTCCTTCCTGCTCCCAGCACAAACCATGGTACTCTCATTCTTACTGTGGGAGTAACATATTCATGACAACTTGTGGTGCTGATACCAACCAATACAGACGTTGCTGATGGGCAGAGAGGGAGAGCTGTGCCATCGGTGTAACCTCCTTTAACACTGCACAGATTTACAGCTGATGCTTAAGGAAAGTTCCTGGATTCCCTGTCATTGATGAGTGTTCTATTCTTTCCAGTTGCCTGGGAAAGTGAAAAACCCTAGTTGACAATGACTAGAGTGTTTTGATTATCTTTTAACAGAACTAGAGCAGTGTACTCTAGCTGGCTGTAAAATCTACTGCATAAAAGAAAATATAACCAGAAGTTTCACTGTGTCTCCTTAGCAACTCAAATAGGGACATCAGACCTGGGGTCTGCTCTTTACACTGGCTTCCACCGCATCTGAGATGAAATTTCATATTTTCGTTCTTATCTTCGACACTCACTGTTGTGATGCTCTGTGAAAGAGTGCTTAATGCCAGGGGCTGAAGGATGTAACTGGCAGTTTTAGTCCTCTGACTGAAAGGAGTACTACATGAAAAGCAATATTTTCTGGTCTCAGGCTAAGGAAAGGTCTCTTCTAGGAACAGAGAACTATGTCTAACCTACTGATTTCCTCACCCATATATAATTACATCTCTCCTACGTGGCCTTCCTTATCAGAAATACCTAGCAATACATCCACTTGAAGGCAAAACACCTTCCTTCTCCCCTGTCATTCCCTCAAGGTTTACTCTAACCCCTTTATTCAAAGCAAACACTCCAGTGCACTCCATGCTTTGTCTTTATGGAGACTGAAAGTAAAGAAAAGAACTGGCAAATGCTCATCACATTACTTAATGTTGCAGTAAGGTTGTTGACAAAGTATGCACGAAGATGTTTTTATGGGGTGCACAGGTAATGGCATATATTGCCTTTAGCAGCAATAGTTCTTTCTGTAGAACAGAGAAAAATGAGATAGGATGAGGGAGGGACAGAGAGAGAAAGGGACACGAAAATGGTTTTGTGGATCCAGCCAAGTGACACAGCTTCCAACATGAGTGATCTCTCCTGTAAAACACGTGATCACTATATTTTTTCCATAACATGTAATTTTCAACAGAATATGCTCCAACTCCCTATTGCTAGTTCTTGCCTATCATGCTGATAGTGCTCATCAAAGTCTGCTTTCATCAAGTTCAGGAGCCATCTAGCATGGGCATGTATATTTTTGGGTCACTATCTGTCAGCCACTTAAATGACTAATACTTACTATCTTATCCACTAAATCTTGGTTTTATCTAGAACAGACTATAAAACAAGGATTAGAAAAGAGAAGAAGGGAAACTGATGCTCACACTATCTCATGAGAACTAGCTATAACGAGGTTTTGCAGGTGCAAGAGCACAGAATAACTGCACAGTAACAACAGAATGAGAGGAACAAGGGAGAAATAATGGCACACCACCTTAGATGTGTGGAGGAAGATTGCGAAGATTGCAGTGTTACAGGTGAAAGGCAACCTGCCAAATGGCAGGCCCTTAGCAAGACAAAGGTTCAAGCACTTAAAACGTAGTGTAACATTAAAACATTCCTGGGCAGCACTGCAGTGCCCACCTAGAACAAGAATTGACAAATGGCTGTACTAAGTTCTTAGGCCTCTCAAAGAGTAATCATCCTTTTTGCTATCTGGGGATGAAAAAAAACCCCATTTTCTCCATCATATTAAAGAATATATAATTTATCTTTCAGAGCCAGTGCTGGTACTCTGAACTACAAGTCTTTTGTCTTGGCCAACAAGCTATCTTTTTGGGAAGGACCATGATGGTTTTCTGAAGACATTTACATTGCAAATACACACCCTTTACCACTCTCACACAGTCCCTTCCTCTGCAACAGATATTTCTATATAAAATCAGTGTTATCACATCACTGACCTTATTAATGTTATATATTCTGGGATCTGTTTACATCTTTATATTCATTCAAATTCTATTTGGTAAAGTTTTGATCCTCTGACTTAATTTGAGAGAGCAAAACAGGGTTTCATTTGCACTCAGGTTCTGTTCAGAAGTTATTTATAATAGAGTAATATATTACTGATATATATCAACAGTAACACAGGTGAGCAACATTTGCCGAACTTTAGTGTGTTCTAAGAACTTAATTAGAAAACATAAAAAGAATGTTTCTTGACATTTCTTCCCAATAAAAGTTTATTGACCTATAGCGTAGCCTGACTGCTTACCATTTATCAAACACCTTTTGACTCTGTGTTAGGTTTCTATTAACACATAAAGAGAACCTTAATACAAAGCCCCAAAAAGCTTATTAGGCATTTGTGTCAGGTTTTGAGATCACTATGGAACAGTGAATACAAATTATCAGTAGATTCAACATTTATAACTCCCCCTCAGAGAATTTATCAAAACTAACACCTTTAGAAGTAAGTAATAATAGCAAGTGACAATTTCTGAAATTAGATATGCCAAATCATTTATCATATTCAATAATTACCATCAACTTCAATTTCAAAAGATCAAGCTGACATAAAGAAGTGAAATTATTAATAAGCTAACAATTTCATTTTCCCTTAGGACTGTAAATCATGAAATATTTAGAAAACCAATTAGTTTCAACATGATGAGTTTAAGTTAAAGCTGGCAGAAATGAAGGCAGTACATGAGAAATGGGGAAAGACGGAGCATGACCCTCACCCAATAAAGGCCTTTAGGCCAGTATGGAAATGCTTTGACTATCAAGACTGTTTTGCCACAGCAGCACAGCCCCTCATAGAAACAATGTGCTTGGGCTCAAGGGAAATAAACCTTAGTGGAAAGAAACGCCTATAGAATGGGAACTAGAAAAAGACCCTAAGTATTTCAGGCGCAGAAATACAGGAAAGACTGGTTTGTTTTTTTTTTTTTTTTTTTTTTTTTTTTTTTTTTTTTTTTTTTTTTTTTTTTTTTTTTTTTTTTTTTTTTTTTTTTTTTTTTTTTTTTTTTTTTGTTTGTTTGTTTGTTTTGTTTTGTTTGTTTGTTTGGTTGGTTCTTTTTTTTTTTTGCATTTTCAGATTATCCAGGTAAAAGTAAAACCTATGGGAGAGATCAACACAAAAACTAACTTCTGAGAGATGACTGAGGCAGTGTCTCCTGCATTATTACAGGACTGTCTGAGGAAAACTGCTCTAAAGAGCTTACATATTGAGGTAGCCTGGGTGGTTTCCACTTACCTGTCTTCCTTCCATAGCTCCTCGCATTTCCTTGAAAGTGGAGGTGAATTCTCCAATGAAGTCATGCTTTCCATTGGAATCCCAGTCCCATACTATGCACTGGGAAGACAAATAGAAAAAGAACAAAAAAGCATGTTTCTCTTCAGACAAAAAAGAGGTTTTGTTGAAAAACACTACAGGAGAAATTATGATATACACTGGGTGAAGTGTTTTATATAAAGAGAAATCACAAGATATATTAAAACCATATTCTTGTCTCGATCAAAATAAAATGACAAGTGGAATCTCAACACAGCTTGCTGTTGACAGTTGTGTGTTGCGGAGTTGGCCTAATGAAAGCAAGTTCACGTATTTCAGAAAGAAAGGACTGCCTGTCTAGATCTTTTTGCCAGGTGTAAAAATACAGGATTATGTGTATTTGTATATTCATGGTCAAATGGTGTCCTGACTTAGCTCATCAATGTACTTTACAAATATAAATTCTTATAAAAAACTCTACTGGCTTTGGGCAAACAGTACTGTTCTCATTTTTACAGTCAGTGAAGGTGAGACAATAGTTACAGAGATCATTTTCTGAAATGGCTTTGAAATTATACACATTAGTGTTTGGTGCCCATACCTTGGCTGTTTCCCAGTGTTGCTCAACAGTGACTACACAAACCAAACCTCACTGATAGTCTCTCCTAAATCCATGCATAAAGATGAGTATCTCAATGAGTTTGAGCTATGAGAATTTTATTTTGCAGATTTTGCTAAATACAATTAACCTAGCAAAGACTGAAGCACATAGCAATAACTATAGGCTTTGTTGAATTATAATTTTAAAACTGGTCCAAAGACAACAAAGGGGCTTACAACTTTACAGAACAAAATCCCAAATTCAGCCTTATGTTCTCTCTAGATAAAGGTCCCATAAGCTGCCTGAGTCAGGAGGCCTTTACTGAAAACACTCTGCTACAAAATCTCTCTCTCATTTTTATTTTTTTTTTAAATAGAAATGCCTCAAAGCCACCTGCACTGTCACATGAGGAGTGCACTGACATCTACCTATCGGATGGCTTTGAGGGTAACTTTGACTCCCTCGTGTGGGCCTGAGTCTTACAGATCTATAAATGGGTGTGTGGTGAGCACTTTACTGATGGGAGAAGTAGAGGAGCTCCCTGCTGAGAAAGGCAGGAAATAAATAAAATTGGAGGTGGTGGGGCAGTAGCAGTGGGATATCAGGCTTAAAACCAATGAGTTTTACCACACTGCTTGGTCTCAGTGAGGTTCAGAGCTTTTGACCCAGCATTGGTGGTCAGACAACACAAGAGGAAGAGCAAGGTTTGCTCTTCAAAGACTCCTCAAGCCATTTGAAGTTTGCTTGGTCCAAAGGGGCACTGAGTTCACCCAGAAGAAAACTGAAATCGTCAGATCTTGACTGGATTTTGAGTTTGAAATATTTCAAAAAAAGAACTTGATTGAAACAGACTTCCCTGTCCACCAGCTGTGCATTCTAACCAGTCCGAATAATCCAGTCAAAAGTATGTGAGCACTATGGCTAATCCCTTTTGAGGGTAGGCGGAAAGATTCTGTAGAAAGCTTGAGACAGACAAAATGACTGAATTCTTTCAGTGAGAACAAATGGACCAAAAGTGTTTCAAGAGAAAGACCATCTAAAACAACCTAACATCCTCCCACCACAGCCTTAAGTTAATAAATAGCCTCTTCCACATAAATGTTTGTCCATGTGAGGCCCATTGACTTGAAGTACAGGTTGGAAGGTATTTGATCTCCACATCTAAGGTACCTGATTACCTGAACTTACTGTTAAGTGCCCAGACACCTTATTTGTCTTTGTAGAAGTAAATCAGCTGCTGATTTTACTAAATTCACACCCACCATCCACATTATTATTTATGTTCCTTCTGTTTTATAATGACTCCAGCCTTCCTTTGAACTTTCAGCACTGCTCCGTTTAGTGCCAGGAAGAGATTTCATTTCATACAAAGGGAAATTTTTGGATCAGTACAGAAGATGTGTAGTAGAGGTACAAAGGATTGCCCATAAGGAAAGAGTACCAGCATAACTCTTCTTTCTGCAGATATTAATCAGTTGAAACAGTTCATGGGTCAGGCAAAGACCTGGCTCTGTTACTTTTCCATCCTGCCACAAGCACTTTTTGCCCCCCCCCCCTTTTTTTTTTTTTTTTTTTTTTTTTTTTAATGCAGGGATCCCACACTAAAGAAAGGTCTCCAGATTGCAAGGTGAAATTATTTTGCTTTAAGACTTGGAGATACTTTTCAGCAGCTTTGACACTGAAGGGGTGGGTGGACAGTAGAGGGAAAAGGGGGGCAGTTCTCATGCATGTTTACTTGTAAGCTGAATTCTATACAGGAGTAATCAAATGAGAGTAGGTTTCTGGTTCTGATAGTGGTAATGCTTCCCAGAAAAAAACTAGACAGTAGTTTCAATGCCAACAGCCTTGGAGTATTCTTCATGATGAAATCTTCACTAATAATCATTCTATGCTTATTATCAACTATGATTTTTAGATGAGCTGGCAACTAAAACAACAACAACAACAACAAAGAAAACCCAAGAGAAAGTAATTTGATTAATTAAAAAATCCCTGAAACGCTTTTTGTTTCACAGAGCTTGAAGCAGCTGCATTTTATTTTTCTGTGAAATTTCTTGCTAATATAGATTGGACATCTTTTATTGAAATTACTTAATAAATATTTCATGGAAAAAATGGATTTCACAGATGAAGCATGACTTAAAATGACTTTTTTTCCTGTAATGGTTGCAAAAATTATTTAAGATCTTAAAAGTAATACTAAGTAAAAACATTTGTCATAATGTCATAGCAAAATTTTTATAAATTTGCAAAAATTATAGTTTTAGTAATGCTTACAACTTTTGAAACAATGTTTTTCAAAAAAATGACTATTTCACAAAGAAAATAAAGAGAACCCTTATTATGAAATTTTCCAACGAGATTTACTTTGGTCTTTAAACTCAACTGGAGCATAAATACAAGAACAGACCCAAGGTTATCAAAGACCTCCAGAAAAAGGTATTTTGAAAAATTTCTATTAGAGACCTGACTCTTATGAAGAGGGAAAAGCTCTGAGTGCTGATTTGTGGTTAGAATTTTAAGTGGAGATGAGCACAGTTAAATTACATACAAAATGTCCACTAACTTTAGTTTTCAGAAAGCCAGATGGTACTTTAATCTTCACATTGGCTTCATGGAAAAGGCCAACAATTACACTATTATTTTAGTGCCATTTGCTCAATTACAGCTAAGGGAGAAAAGGGAATTCTGCAAGCACATCCATTATGACTTCTTTTTTTTCCCCAGAGTTTCACATCTGGCCATAGAAATTAACTGTTATTGTCTGAAAAACATTTTGTACACAGTAATGATTCTGCTTTTCAAAGGTATATGACAAGTATTTCTAAAACATATAAATACGGGGGTCCAGACATTTTTATAAAAACCCACTCAGACAGATAAAATAAGCAGGGAAGGATTTTTGCAAATAATCCAGAATCAGGTAAAGACCAGAGGTGATAACCAAAGTATTATTTCCCTATGAAATACTTTAAAGGGTCTTTGTTTGTTTTGGGTTTTGTTTGTTTGTTTTTGTGGGTCTTGTGGTTTATGTGGTGTGTTTTTTTTTTTTTTTTTTTTTTTTTTTGTTTTTTTTTTTTTTTTTTTTTTTTTTTTTTGGAAGGCCTCATGTGCTTTTTAAATCAAAATCTCCATAACATAAATCATCCTCTATCTTTAGGCAAACCTTAATGTATTCTTTGGGTCTGTACTCTTGGAGGTTGCTTTAAGCAGATGATTAACAGTATACCTAGACCCTACTAAAAGTCTCATTAATTTAAGGAGGCTTTCCACACACTTAATTTTAAATACTGGTAAATCAGTGTTCAGATAACTGGTGAGAAAATTCAGACTCCTTCCTATTGGTTACAAGCTCAAATACAGGCAATAAAAACTGCTGCCAATGCTGCCTGGTGATGGAATAGCACTGACTGGAAGGATGAAGAACATCTTTCACCCCTGCATGATTTTACCTTCCTCCCCAAAACACCTGCTGACTGCAGGGAGAGGGAGCACTGCTTCAGGCCCTCGCAAGGAAAGGCGTGATGCCTGACAGAGCTAACCAGCAGATCCAGTTAAGATGACATCATAGGATCACTTCTGAGTATCCACATCATCATTCCTTCAGCTTTCCCTGTAAATACCACAAAATGAAAGATTTCCTTCCTGGCTGAAAGTGAACATTTCAATGGAAAAAGGAGGGAGAAAGGTCCATTTTAAAAAGAAAAAGATATTTCAGGTGGATGCAGATGGAACTTTTCCCTGGTTTTATTTCAATTTTTTTCACCAAGGTTAGATTTTGCCGGTACTCTCACTACAAAGGGCATTCAAGAAAAATTGCACAGGCACGGGAGCTACAACAGCACAGGCTTCTCTGGTTGATTTTCATAATGCTTCCCAGAAGTTGACAGCTAGATTAATCTTGCTACCTCTGAGCGAGCAAAAAACTCACTTGTGCAATTCCTGATTTTAATTATATTTCACAAAAAATATAACCTGAACCATACTCCAGCTCCAGCCAATACTGTTCAGTGATGTGATGATGCCAAGATAAGAAATAAACCAATTTCTCTATCCAGTATCTCGCATGGAATGAGGCAGTTTTCCTGTTTGATAATTCAACAGCAATAAAAGTATTGCTACCTATCATATGATCCAAACTAAAGTATCATTTTTTTCAGATTTTAACTTCTGTAAGAAATTAAAAGACACTGAGACAAGAAATTGGTGTTCCAAGTTTCAATATAAGATCCAGCAAAATTCTAGCACAATTGTCATAAAATAATTCTTCCCATAGTCACCATCCTATCTATTTTGAACCACTAAGAGTAAGTAAGTAAGTAAGTAAGATAAAAGACTGGCTACTTTAAGTATGCATCTGTGTGTGGGTGTCTGCAGGTACTGAGATTATTTTCCCTACACACCTTCAGAGAAATGCTTCAAGTGGTTTGTCCCCATTAGGTTTTCACGATGAGGGAACTATTATATACAACACCTTTGG